AAGGTGGCTCTACAAAGTATTGACTTTGGGGAGGGGTGGAGAATAGTTATGCACGGTCAAGTTCTGTTTTTTTGTCTTATTTCTTGTTTGCTTCAAAAATAAAAAAATATTTTGCATCTTCAAAGTGGTAGGCATGCTGTGTAAATCAAATGATACAAACCCCAAAGAAATCCATTTTAATTCCAGGTTGTAAGGCAACAAAATAGGAAAAATGCCAAGGCGGGTGAATACTTTCGCAAGCCACTGTAGCAGTGGAAATACTATCACAACATAGCAGTGGAAATAATATCACAACATAGCAGTGGAAATACTATCACATCATAGCAGCAGAAATATTATCACAACATAGCAGTGGAAATACTATCACAACATAGCAGTAGAAATATTATCACAACATAGCAGTGGAAATATTATCACAACATAGCAGTGGAAATATTATCACAACATAGCAGTGGAAATATTATCACAACATAGCAGTGGAAATACTTATCACAACATAGCAGTGGAAATACTATCACAACATAGCAGTGGAAATACTATCACAACATAGCAGTGGAAATATTATCACAACATAGCAGTGGAAATATTATCACAACATAGCAGTGGAAATACTATCACAACATAGCAGTGGAAATATTATCACAACATAGCAGTGGAAATACTTGTGAATTAATCCATTTGAATAAATACATGTGAAACGTTTTCAACTTAACCCTTGCTAATCCTATCCCACTAGGCTATACCTCCCTAAAAATGACGACACATGGATTTTGTTCTTTGCAGAAACCACTTGTGTCTTGGTCTTATAGAACACGTTTTAAGGCTACACAACCATACATCTACTAGTTAAACTGGTTAAAATCACTGTATTGGCTGGATGGAGGACATGGGAAGCCTTTGCTATCTGACAGAGTGGACTTATCATGTTGCATTTGGGGACATTCTCCTGACACTGAACATAATCATACATTGGGCTCTGAGATTACACTAAACATTTTCCACTGGTCCCTTTCTCCTGCTTTGGTGACATCATGAGTAGTGTGTTCTCATATCTATCGATCGATCTATCCACTGAGTGTAGAAAACATTATAATGGGCAAGAAAAAATATTTAAGTGCCTTTGAACGGGGTATGGAAGTACAGTTGAAGTCGGAAGTTTACATACACTTAGGTTGGAGCCATTGGTCCTCTGTAGCTCAATTGGTAGAGCATGGCGCTTGTAACGCCAGGGTAGTGGGTTCGATTCCCGGGACCACCCATACGTAAAAATGTATGCACACATGACTGTAAGTCACTTTGGATAAAAGCGTCTGCTAAATGGCATATTATTATTATTATTAAAACTTGTTTTTCAACCACTCCACACATTTCTTGTTAACAAACTATAGTTTTGGCAAGTCGGTTAGGACATCTACTTTGTGCATGACACAAGTAATTCTTCCAACAATTGTTTACAGACAGATTATTTCACTTATAATTCACTGTATCACAATTCCAGTGGGTCAGAAGTTTACATACACTAAGTTGACTATGCCTTTAAACAGCTTGGAAAATTCCAGAAAATGATGTCATGGCTTTAGAAGCTTCTGATAGGCTAATTTACATCATTTGAGTCAATTGGAGGTGTACCTGTAGATGTATTTCAAGGCCTACCTTCAAACTCAGTGCCTCTTTGCTTGACATCATGGGAAAATCAAAAGAAATCAGCCAAGACCTCAGAAATGAAATTGTAGAACACTCCACAGGTCTGGTTCATCCTTGGGAGCAATTTCCAAACACCTGAAGGTACCATGTTCATCTGTACAAACAATAGTACGCAAGTATAAACACCATGGGACCACACAGCAGTCATATCGCTCAGGAAAGCGACGCGTTCTGTCTCCTAGAGATGAACGTACTTTGGTGCGAAAAGTGCAAATCAATCCCAGAACAACAGCAAAGGACCTTGTGAAGATGCTGGAGGAAACAGGTACAAAAGTATCTATATCCACAGTAAAACGACTCCTACAGTGGGGGAAAAAAGTATTTAGTCAGCCACCAATTGTGCAAGTTCTCCCACTTAAAAAGATGAGAGAGGCCTGTAATTTTCATCATAGGTACACGTCACCTATGACAGACAAATTGAGAAAAAAAAATCCAGAAAATCACATTGTAGGATTTTTTATGAATTTATTTGCAAATTATGGTGGAAAATAAGTATTTGGTCACCTACAAACAAGCAAGATTTCTGGCTCTCACAGACCTGTAACTTCTTCTTTAAGAGGCTCCTCTGTCCTCCACTCGTTACCTGTATTAATGGCACCTGTTTGAACTTGTTATCAGTATAAAAGACACCTGTCCACAACCTCAAACAATCACACTCCAAACTCCACTTTGGCCAAGACCAAAGAGCTGTCAAAGGAAACCAGAAACACAATTGTAGACCTGCACCAGGCTGGGAAGACTGAATCTGCAATAGGTAAGCAGCTTGGTTTGAAGAAATCAACTGTGGGAGCAATTATTAGGAAATGGAAGACATACAAGACCACTGATAATCTCCCTCGATCTGGGGCTCCATGCAAGATCTCACCCTGTGGGGTCAAAATTATCACAAGAACGGTGAGCAAAAATCCCAGAACCACACGGGGGGACCTAGTGAATGACCTGCAGAGAGCTGGGACCAAAGTAACAAAGCCTACCATCAGTAACACACTACGCCGCCAAGGACTCAAATCCTGCAGTGCCAGGCGTGTCCCCCTGCTTAAGCCAGTACATGTCCAGGCCCGTCTGAAGTTTGCTAGAGTGCATTTGGATGATCCAGAAGAGGATTGGGAGAATGTCATATGGTCAGATGAAACCAAAATAGAACTTTTTGGTAAAAACTCAACTCGTCGTGTTTGGAATGCTGAGTTGCATCCAAAGAACACCATACCTATTGTGAAGCATGGGGGTGGAAACATCATGCTTTGGGGCTGTTTTTCTTCAAAGGGACCAGGACGACTGATCCGTGTCAAGGAAAGAATGAATGGGGCCATGTATCGTGAGATTTTGAGTGAAAACCTCCTTCCATCAGCAAGGGCATTGAAGATGAAACGTGGCTGGGTCTTTCAGCATGACAATGATCCCAAACACACCGCCCGGGCAATGAAGGAGTGGCTTCGTAAGAAGCATTTCAAGGTCCTGGAGTGGCCTAGCCAGTCTCCAGATCTCAACCCCATAGAAAATCTTTGGAGGGAGTTGAAAGTCCGTGTTGCCCAGCGACAGCCCCAAAACATCACTGCTCTAGAGGAGATCTGCATGGAGGAATGGTCCAAAATACCAGCAACAGTGTGTGAAAACCTTGTGAAGACTTACAGAGAACGTTTGACCTGTGTCATTGCCAACAAAGGGTATATAACAAAGTATTGAGAAACTTTTGTTATTGACCAAATACTTATTTTCCACCATAATTTGCAAATAAATTCATTAAAAATCCTACAATGTGATTTTCTGGATTTTTTTTTCTTATTTTGTCTGTCATAGTTGACGTGTACCTATGATGAAAATTACAGGCCTCTCTCATCTTTTTAAGTGGGAGAACTTGCACAATTGGTGGCTGACTAAATACTTTTTTTCCCCACTGTATATCGACATAACCTGAAAGGCCACTCAGCAAGGAAGAAGCCACTGCCCCAAAACCGCCATAAAAAAGCCAGACTACGGTTTGCAACTGCACATGGGGACAAAGATCGTACTATTTGGAAAAATGTCCTCTGGTCTGATTAAACAAAAATAGAACTGTTTGGCCATAATGACCATCGTTATGTTTGGAGGAAAAAGGGGGATGCTTGCAAGCCGAAGAACACCATCTCAACCGTGAAGCACAGGGGTGGCAGCATCATGCTGTGGGGGTGCTTTGCGGCAGGAGGGACTGGTGCACTTCACAAAATAGATGGCATCATGAGGAAGGAAAATTATGTGGATATATTGAAGCATCATCTCAAGACATCAGTCAGGAAGTTAAAGCTTGGTCGCAAATGGGTCTTCCAAATGGACAATGACCCCAAGCATACTTCCAAAGTTGTGGCAAAATGGCTTATGGACAACAAAGTCAAGGTATTGGAGTGGCCATCACAAAGCCCTGACCTCAATCCTATAGAAAATGTGTGGGCAGAACTGAAAAAGCATGTGCAAGCAAAGAGGCCTACAAACCTGACTCAGTTACACCAGCTCTGTCAGGAGGAATGGGCCAGAATTCACCCAACTTATTGTGGGAAGCTTGTGGAAGGCTACCCTAAATGTTTGACCCAAATTAAACAATTTAAAGGCAATGCTACCAAATACTAATTGAGTGTATGTAAACTTCTGACCCACTGGGAATGTGATGAAAGAAATCAAAGCTGAAATAAATCATTCTCTCTACTATTATTCGGACATTTCACGTTCTTAAAATAAAGTGGTGACCCTAACTGACCTAAGACAGGACATTTTTACTAGGACTAAATGTCAGGAATTGTGAAAAACTGAGTTTAAATGTAGGTGCCAGGTGCACCGGTTTGTGTCAAGAACTGCAACGCTGCTGGGTTTCATGCTAAACAGTTTAAATTCAAATCAAATTTTGAATTTTCCCCATGTCTCAAGAATGGTCCACCACCCAAAGGACATCCAGCCAACTTGACACAACTGTGGAAAGCATTGGAGTCAACATGGGCCAGCATCCCTGTTGTTTTGACATGCCCTGATGAATTGAGGCTGTTCTTAGGGCAAAAGGGGTAGGGGGGGGTTGCAACTCAATATTAGGAAGGTGTTCTTAATTTTCTGTACACTCAGTATAGATACTGTAGATAAGAGTTTGGTTAGGTATAGCTAACATTGACATTCAAGACAGTTCAACAAAGAAGGACATTTGGACTGTATTAAAGATATGACTGCCATAACAAAACAAATAGTTAAAGAATACCGGTATGCATATTCCCACACAACAAACATTCAGCTCAAAAAAGAATAGCCTACTGCAGTAAATAAATAGTGCTCTCAAGGCTACTCGAACAACAAACTCAAATCCAGAACATTCCTCTTCTTCAGATTGTCTTTTATTTCAGTTTGAAATAATACAAATATCCATGTTATGACTGAGCACAACACCACTTACAAGTGTCATTTGAATGTTAAGGCATAGATATTCATAAGGGGATTCTTGGATAGCAAACGCGCCTACTTAAAAAAGGTCAAGACAAAAATTGAAAATACAACAAATAAAGAGGATAATTATTTCAAATTCAAAACCAAAAGAAATTGGGAAACAAATAGCAAACATGCAACCATCATACTGTATATCTTGCTACAGATATAATGCCCCAAGACTCAAATCTGTCTTGACAACGAGTTTGTGCATGTACGTATGTGGTGTGACATGACTCGGGTGTGTAATAACTGATGGAGTGGACCATTTAACTAGGCAGGAGACAAGGGAATACATAAACATCTCTGTCGAACAGGCTGGAGGAGAGAAACCTGTTGGACTGATCCATGTAATTCATCACTTTTCCAGACCACAGGATCCAATGAACATTCCTAAGCGTGCTTGAACTGATGACCATTATTTAATAAGAAGGCTTGATTGAAGGACCAGCTAGGTCAGAATGAAACCAAGCTTTGGTGAATTAAAGAAAAAGCCTTTATAATCGCAACAGCTTTAATAATAAACACGATGTAACTTTTTTTTTTCCCTTCAACATTTGAGCCAGTGACAGCTATGAACATGCACATCACTAGGCTATATGAACACTGCAGCTACATGGACAGCGCTTGCCAAGACGTATCACATTGCATGTAGCGTGCAACCCCTGTATTAAAAATCTGCAATATTCAACAGCGTTTAAAATTAGCTTCCCACATCAAGAACTAAAAAGTGGAAGAAAATGATCCTATAAATATTTAGCAGCTTGGAATAGAGAAATTACCAAGTAAATAAAATGGCAGGGGATAAAAATGATAATTGTTGTCAACCAGTGGGATACATTGGTAAAACCAACTGCGAAGCGTACACATGCCTTCCATGTTAAATGGATGTTTAATAAAATATATTACGTGACATATTTTCTTTAGGAGCACAATGTGTGGGTGATGAACGCCTATGTCAGCTGTTATGAACTGCTTACGGGGGGGGCTATAGGCCTATAAACACTAGCTAAGACTAAATGAAGGCGTGTGAAAGTTCTGAACCCTCACTCCCTTCATCTATTGGTCCTATGGTAACCATGGTTAAGGCATGCAGATCTACTCATCAAGCAGAGGACTTGACATAAATAGCAAAAAGGTATTTGTGGTATAACTTGGTAGTTATTTGACATGATGTAGTGATCATATTCATACTGTATTGCATAAACGTGTAGCCGAATGTATACAATATTAATATTGTAGAGAGGAAAATCACCATTTCACCATGATGTGTTTGACAAGACGTATATGTGACTTGGTGTGGTTAACAACAAACTTGATAGATAAAACAATGAACCTCATTTAGCGTGATATTTTATACATGATGAATATCGACCATGTTTTCAACACGACGTAATGCACTGTGACAACTGACTGGCAGTACAGGAAGTGTGCAAACTGCAAAGTCCCTTTTGGACCAAGACCTCAGAAAGGTACAGATGATACCTTGTCGTGTCTCAGAAAACCACACGGTATTAACGGACTCTTAATATTCTTCTCAGTTTCTGGTTTCCAGTATGCCGTTTGGGTTGGTTCCAGTTTACAGTACGGAGCAGTATCCTCCACAGCTCCCCGCCCCGCGCTGCTCCTTGTCCCCCAGTTGGACGCCCCGGGGCTGGGTGTCGCTTTCCCAAAGCCCTGGGGTCTGGAGAATCTTCTCCACCAGCTCCTCGAAGGCACACTGGACACCATCCCTGGTTTTAGCACTGGCCTCTGCCAGGGTGGAAGGGCACATTAGTGTGGTATCAACGTATGGGGATGCAACAACGCAAATTCACTAAACACTATTTTAGGTTTGGAATAAATAGGAGCAGAAATGACTGTGGGTAAACATACGTTCAGCACTATTTATGTTTAAATCCCAGTAGCTGAGAAATATTGATGAAATCACGTCACAGATTTTAACGCAACAAAATCTGTGCATGACAAGTGCCATTACCACATCGGACTGGGATGGATTCCCCCCCCCCCCAGATTGATGTCTGATTCACCCACTCCATGCATTAAGGTCATTTTCTAAGGAGATATCTTTAATCTGTTGATTTTCTGACGTATGATGATCTCGATTTGGGTAATTTAGATTGACTTGTGTAGACAAAACTGCAGGCCAACGTAAGCCATACACATTCAGAGTTCATAAAATATAAATGTTTGCATTTAGAAAAAGTATATATTGGGCACTGTGTAGCCTACACGGCACATAAAAACAAAAACATTGCCCTTTTTCAAAACCCTTAATTTAGTCATTCTAAAATGGAAAGTCTTCAGAAATGCTATAACCTAATTTCAGGAGGCAGATGGAGCTGGGAAATAGAAACATATGTAGAAATGGGTTTGATAGATGATTGACTGCAGATTTGCGATCGTAATGCAATTCTCCTGGAAGGGCTGCATCCTTCAGCGTGGCGCTGACAGTGGAGATTAGGAATGTCAAAGGAGAGTTACAGGACGACATCTGTGCTCGAATTAAAAAAGAGTCTGCACATTGTTGTAAAGTTAGTCTCCAACTGGTATTTAATCACGAAACGGTAAAAGATGTAGATGTCTTTATGTAGTAGACCCTATTAACATATTTCTGAGTCCCTGCATCGCTTTGTTTTTCACTTCAGTATCCGGGTTCCTTTACTCATAGACGGCCAGCTATTTTACAAGGATGAAGAACTTACCAATAAAAAGCATGGAGTGTTTCCTTGCGAACTTAAGGCCTTCGTTTCTGTCAACTTCACGGTTTTCCTGAAACAAAAACTGAACTGTCAAATTCAACAATGGGTTCACATAACAGGTGTTAGCCTGTTTGACAACTCATGACAACAATAGAACCATCTATAGTCCTAGCATCTGGAATGTTGTTATGACAACAATAGAACCATCTATAGTCCTAGCATCTGGAATGTTGTTATGACAACAATAGAACCATCTATAGTCCTAGCATCTGGAATGTTGTTATGACAACAATAGAACCATCTATAGTCCTAGCATCTGGAATGTTGTTATGACAACAATAGAACCATCTATAGTCCTAGCATCTGGAATGTGGTGTACCATCAGGTATGATACCAGCAACACAAAACATTGCTAAGTGATACGACATTATTCGCTCCATCCGACAATGAGAGACAAAGACGGCAGCTAAGGTGACAATATAAGAGAAGCACACCTGAAAGACAGATTCATGCCAGACAGGTATTGACCCACGATGGTACCGGGACACCCACCTCCTTATCAATCTTGTTCCCGACCAGCATTTTGACGAGGTCATTCCGTGTGCAGTACGTCTCCAGTTCGTTCAGCCAGTTCTCCAGCCTCGTGAACGTGTCCCGTTTAGTGACATCGTACACTAACAGCAAAAGAGAGGAGATTAACAGTGTCTGTACCTTCATCCATAGCTACAATTAAGATGTGTTATACAAGCGGGGGGGGGGGGGGGGGGGGGGGGGGGTCCTCAAATCATAGTGTGGAGGTCCACAGTACTAGACAGGTTCAGATTTGAGAATGTGGTGGAGTATTTGAAATAGGCACCTCATTTTTGGGAGACCAGGGGGGCTTCTCAGAGTATGAGTCCTTTGCCATTTTTACATCATCATGAATAAGATTGTAAGGACAGGCAGGAGCCTGATCCTGGATCAGCACGCTTGGTACATACGGCTCCAGAGGTGGTAATATGTACACCACTGTTGGCCATGAGACAAAACACCACCTCACCTAGTATAACTCCCTGTGCACCACGGTAGTAGCTGGGCGTCAGGGTCCGGAACCTCTCCTGTCCTGCCGTGTCCTGACAGAAAGTCAACAACAACCGGCATCAGTGAGAGAAAATCAGTGTGCCGACCTTCAGCATTGAACACAGAAACTGTTACCCCATGCCATGCCAGCTATAACATAGCTGTAACATTACCATTTCAATTAGTTCACGAAATTGTATTTTTTGATGAGTCACAATGATCAAATTCTGATGAGACTGTGAAGAGCTTCACATTCAGTAAAGACTAAAACAAGTCAATCTTCCCAGGTCCTACTAGGGTCGTGGATTTCGCTTTGGGAGGCCAACCTTCCGCTGACATTTCTTCTCTATGCGACACGTTACACAATAGCGCCATCTCATGGTGCAACCCAATGGTGCGTGCAACTCTATCCTTGTCGAAGCTGTTCTACAGTGCTTCAGAAAGGAGTCACACCCCTTGACTTTTTCCACATTTTGTTGTGTTACAAGGTGGGATTAAAATGGATTTGTCATTTTTTGTCAATGATCTACACATACAGTATCTTGATTAAATAAGTATTCAACCCCTTGAGTCAATACATGTTAGAATCACCTTTGGCAGCAATTACAGCTGAGTTTTTCTGGGCCAGTCTCGAAGAGCTTTGCACAACTGGATTGTACAATATATGCACATTTTTATTTTAAACATTATACTTCTTTGCTTTGTCAAGTTGGTTGTTGATCATTGCTAGACAGCCATTTTCAAGTCTTGCCATAGATTTTCAAGCTGATTTAAGTCAAAACTGTAACTAGGCCACTCACGAACATTCGATGTCATCTTGGTAAGCAACTCCAGTGTATATTTGGCCTTGGGTTTTATGTTATTGTCCTGCTGAAAGGTGAATTTGTCTCCCAGTGTCTGTTGGAAAGCAGACTGAACCAGGTTTTCCTCTAGGATTTTGCCTGTGCTTAGCTCCATTTCGTTTAGTTTTTATCCTAAAAAAAACTCCCTAGTCCTTGCCGATGACAAGCATACCCATAACATGATGCAGCAACCACCATTCTTGAAAATATGAAGAGTGGTACTCAGTGATGTGATGTGTTGGATTTGCCCCAAACATAACACTTTGTATTCAGGATATAAAGTTAATTTCTTTGCCACATTTTTTTGCAGTATTACTTTAGTGCCTTGTTGCAAACAGGATGCATGTTTTGGAATATTTGTATTCTGTACAGGCTTCCTTCTTTTCACACTGTCAATTAGGTAAGTATTGTGGAATAACTACAATGTTGTTGATCCATCCTCAGTTTTCTCCTATCACAGCCATTAAACTCTGTAACGGTTTTATAATGACCATTGGCCTCATGGTGAAAACGCTGAGCTGTTTCTTTCCTCTCCGGCAACTGAGTTAGGAAGGACTCCTGTATCTCTGTAGTGACTGGGTGTATTGATACACCATCCAAAGTGTAATTAATAACTTCACCATGCTCAAAGGGATATTCAATGTCTGCTGTTTTTATTTTTTACCCATCTACCAATAGGTGGCCTTTTTATTTATTTATTTTTTATAATTTTGTTAGGGGGTAGATCAGCTTTAATATTGCAGATAGATTGTAACTTCCATCAATGTAATTGTCTGCATCACTTCGAATAGGTACCCTTCTTTGCGAGGCATTGGAAAACATCCCTGGTCTTTGTGGTTGAATCTGTTTGAAATTCACTGCTCGAATGAGGGACCTTACAGATAATTGTATGTGTGGTGTACAGAGATGAGGTAGTCATTCAAAAATCATTTTAAACACTATTATTGCACACAGAGTGATCCATGCAACTTGTGACTTGTTAAGCAAATCTTTACTCCTGAGCTTTTTTAGGCTTGCCATAACAAAGACACTTTGACATTATGGGGTATTGTGTGTTGGCAAGTGACACAATTTTAATTTAATCCATTTTAAAATTCAGGCTGTAACACAACAAAATGTGGAAAAAGTCAAGGGGTGTGAATACAACAAAATGTGGAAAAAGTCAAGGGGTGTGAATACTTTCTGAAGGCACTGTACATGATCTCTCTAACACCCAGAAAGCTCTGATTCAAACTCCCATTCACCAGCTCTGCAAGCGTTACAATGTCAAAATATGCTAGATTATCACCAAATATGGAGTTTCATTGAGAAACTATCTTCATTTACTCCTGTTACGGCTGGTATGTACTTCCAACAAAAGGTCTAAATAAAAAAATGTACAAGCAACCGAAGAAAAAAAAAATCCTATTTGGCACCTCCAGCAATCACTCATTCCTGCCACACACAGGTTGGAAGTCTACAACAGGCATTTCTTCAGTTGCTTGTACATTTTTATTTTGACCTTTGTTAAAATTACATACCAGCCGTAACAGGAGTAAATGATGATAGTTGCTCCACGAAACTCCATATTTGGTGATAAACAAACGTATTTTGACATCATAATGCTTGCAGAGCTGGTGAATGAGAGTTAGAGAGGTCTATAACGCACAGATACTGGTTCACTTCAGCCCCATCCCTCAGTTATTTACCAAAACAGTGGCGGGTTTCCGCTTTGTTTTTGTTTGAACTACAGATTGTCCCTTTAAGTAAGTGAATTTCCTGATGTTCACTTCACAGATCACAGAGTACATTGGCCACACCTAAGATAATCAATCCACTTACAGTGATAGAGATTAGATTTGAATGATAATACAAAATACATTATTTTCATACACTTACCCAAATAGCAAGCTTGGCTCTGTTCCCATCCACTGCAATTGTTTTGACTTTGAAATCCACACCTGTATCAAAAAGAGAATGGAAGGAGCAGACTCAGAGGAACCAATGGCTTTCAAGTGGTGACCCATAAATATGAATAGCCTAATGTGTGACAACAATATTCCAATGTCACATAGGCCTAGCAACTGTGTCAAAAGGGCTGTTAGAGTGGGAATTGTGTGTTTTCCCCTCCCCATTTACAGTGCACTGGGGAACACTCCTTTGATGATGGAGCTCCTTTAGACTTACCTATGGTTGCTGCTAGTTCTGGGTCAAAAGTATCATCTGTGAATCTCAGGAGAAGACTGTTTGGGGACAGAAGGGCAATACCATGTCAGAGAGCAGGCATTGTAACACTGACACACCAAATATAGCCTAGCTAGCCCACAACCTAGGAAAACTATTTAGTTAGCTAACTAGCAAGCAAGGGCTGGTGTGGGGTGGGCTTGCCACACAGCACCAGTTCCAGAAAAGCACTTATTTCAGCTAGCTAGCTGGCTAGCTAATAGCTGAACCAGTATCTGGGCAAACGAGACAGATGAATGTGACGAGATCTCCTCTGTGCCCAGAAAGCTATTCATCGTTTCCTTTGCATACTGGTTCTGCTAGACAACAAAGAAAAAATAACTTTAACACGTAGCTAGCAACTTACCAGCAAATATTTAAATAATCATTAAGTAAGATGATAAAAAGCAAAAGTGTAGGAAACGGATTTTTATTCCGAATTCAAAGGACAAAGGGATGCAGCTTGTTATCCAACTAACGTTAGCTACCTAAGTTACCTACTGTAGCTAGCTCAAGATTGTAGGCAAAACAGCCCTCCTGCAATGAGCAAAACTTCAAAACAAAGACTATCTTACCTTGACTTTCCGACACCACTCTCACCAATTATCAATATTTTCAAAGTTGTCAACACGTCGTCGTCCATATTTCTTTAGTTTTTTAAAGCTGTCTTTTAATCAGTTTTTTGGGGCGTTTGTTTGACGTTGACAGTGCAATCTTTGGTGCTCTGACCATTACAACAGTAACGAAGCACTTCCGGGTCGTTTTTTTTTTATCCTTCAAAATAAGAGTACTCTCCTGTAAACTGTGTAAAATGAACACTGTTCATTAATTGTGAAGGCAAACATGATCGAAAATATGGAAAAGTTTCAACATATACTATAGTTATCCAAAACATACACTTCTATTGTTTTGATTGGTCAAGTATGTGTGTGTGTGTGTGTGTGTGTTTGTTCATGGTTGTTATTGCTATTGCTAGTGTTCCGGCCTCATGGGCCTGATAATCACCTGGGGCGTATTCATTAGTCGCTCAATTTGTCGCACAACTTGGTTCCTAGTGAATACACCCCCGGATTTTGCTTATGGAACATCAGTGGAGGCTGCTGAAGGGAGGACGGCTGCCTCACACTACAGAAACAAGAGATAGACTAGCGTCCTGTCTAGAGGGTGTACTTGTACACAAAGTAACGCACACTCGAACAGGAGATGATAAGCGCCTGATCAGATGTATGAGCACATATCAACATAGGAAATTAGAGACAACTAAGTCTTTCAAGGATACCTTTATCTCAAGTATCCAAGTACAGTGAGGAGTGAGCTGGTCTGTTAAGGGTTTGTACTTGTACATCAGTACTATAGATTAAGATTATGTTTGTTAAATGTTTTTCATGAGACATAGAATGTGGTTTATGAGTAGTATCACGGGGAATGTTTTAGGTTATCACCATATCACGACAGGAGGTGGTTGTAAGACAGGGAGACTGGTGATTGGCAGAAAGGGGGCATAGTGTTTAAAGGGGGTAAACGATGAGACGTTAGCAACGGCCAACAATCGAAGAAGCCGTTCCGGACAGCGGTGTTGTAATTTATGCGTAACTGGTAGAATAAAAACTAACGATCAGACTAACGATCTTTGTTGAGTGAATAATTCCACATCATCATAAGACATACCTAACAGAAACAGGAGATACACTAACGTCCTGTCCATGGGGTGTCCTTGTACATCAAGCTACCACACTACAGGAACAGGAGATAGACTAGCGTCCTGTCTAGAGGGTGTACTTGTACATCAAGCTAGCTCACTACAGAAACAGGAGATATACTTATTACCTCTCTGTGCTTGTAGATAAAAGGTGGTTTTCTTCACCTTACAAGATCATGATATTATTTTATTGGACTAAATTAGTGGACTATGGGGGCAGTATGAACAGGACATAATTTCATCCTGACAAGAATACTGAAAGAATAAGACCGTTCTTCAATAAAGACTTTGTTCTCCATAGAGTCAGCTGGGGATGAGTCAGCAGGAAGTCCAGCAGAGAATCCAGGAGAGAGAGAAGGAACTCCAACAGGCTGTGGAGTCTCTCAATGTGAGGACAATATTATTGACCAGAGGAGATGCACCATTTCCTCTTCCCGTCAGCCAAGCCTGGCAGTAGGACAAACACACAAGCCAGGCATTTGATTGTCATGAGAGACATGTCAATGTTTAGTATTGAGAATACATGTTGTGTGTTTAGGTATAAGCTCTGTGATGTTGTGGTATCATATTGCCTAACAGCTAAATACAAACAGACACCTGTAGGGGATTGTCCTGAATAAATAAGATGTGGCAATTATGTTAATTGTCATATTTGTAAGGATACATGGGTATAAGGATATGATGATATAAGAAATTACTAAATTATGAATTGAGTTATGTATTTTAATATTCACAAGTTACCAATTTCAGTGTCAGTAGAAAATAAGGAATATCTACTATCAATATTCTCTGAAGATAATTATTTTAGAATTAATCGAGCCCACATATTAGAATATTAAGACAATGCTATTCATCAATACAATCAACACTTTATAACACTAATTAAAATATTTACAATATTTACATGCCCTCATTCATATTTGTATTTACAGGCCCTTGCGCCAGGCCTGCAGTCAGCCATTGAGAGAGCGAGAACACTCCGATCCCACCGAGCCCCACTGTGGGGAACAGGTAGCCTGGGTATACCAGTATGTTTGTGGTAACATTCAATTTCTTGCCACTCCTTGTCATGCGAAACATGTTTGGCCAATGACACTGAGTACAAGGAGTGGAATGCTAGACCAAAACAGGTTCTGGAGTTCAGGTCTGTGGAACAGGCTGATTGTTTCCACTTAGAAGGCTTAACATGGAGTCTTCACTCTCTTTGTCCTGACAGTGCTCTGCACAGGCAGCAGTGGAGGACAATGAGAGGATCTTTACTGAGCTGACCCGCTCTATTGAGAGAAGGCGCTCTGAACTGAAGGAGCTGATCAGAAACAAGGAGAAAGCTGAAGTGAGCCGGGCTGAAGGACTCCTGGAGCAACTGGAGCAGGAGATAGCTGAGCTGAGGAAGAGAAGCACTGAGCTGGAGCAGCTCTCACACACAGAGGATCACATCCATTTCCTCCAGGTGACTATACTGCCTTGTTAGAGGTGATAGTGATATGAAAAATAATTTATTGGCAATCTATTCATTCTCTCAATCTGTTCTGTCTGTCTCACTATTTATATTCCCCCCCCCCCCCCCCCCCTCTTCCCCTCTCCCCCTCTCTGTCTCTCCCCCCCTCTCTCCAGGGTTATCAGTCTCTCTCCAGTCCCAGTGCATCTTCAGACTTACCCAGCATCATTGCCTACGCTCATCAGTGCTTTGAAGATGTGAGTGAGTCTGTGTCTGAGCTGAGAGAGAAACTAGAAAACTTCCTTACAGAAAAATGGACAAATATCTCCACTACAGGCGGGTGGAAATGATACCAAAATGCTAAATAATACTAAAATACAAAAAATACTAAGGGGTGATTTCCTGGACAGTTTAAATTAAGTCAGGACTATGATTCTATTTTAATTAATCCAGAATAGAAAAGGATTTCTAAAACATTGCTTAACTTCAGAATACTGGTTTCTGGACTATGGCATTTTATGTTTGACTATGGAGTTTTCTATGGAGTTCTTTATGGAGTTATTTAAGAGCTAGTCGCGGAGTTATGGAGTTCTTTATGGAGTCACAGAGTTATGGAGTTCTTTATGGAGTTCTTTATGGAGTTCTTCATGGAGTCACGGAGTTATTGAGTTCTTTATGGAGTTCTTTATGGCGTACTTTATGGAGTTCTTTATAGTGTTCTTTATGGAGTCGCGGAGTTATGGATTTCTTTATGGAGTTCTTTATGGAGTTCTTTATAGAGTTCTTTATGGAGTTGCGGAGTTATGGCGTACTTTATGGAGTTCTTTATAGTGTTCTTTATGGAGTCGCGGAGTTATGGAGTTCTTTATGGAGTTCTTTATGGAGTCGCGGAGTTATGGAGTTCTTTATGGAGTTCTTTATGGAGTCCCGGAGTTATGGAGTTCTTTATGGAGTTCTTTATGGAGTCGCGGAGTTATGGAGTTCTTTATGGAGTCGCGAAGTTATGGAGTTCTTTATGGAGTTCTTTATGGAGTTTTGATTTCCATTGCTGGATATCCTGTACAGAACTGTAGTTGTCCAGAACATTTCCAAATGCATTAATCTGAATTAAACCTATAGGCCTAATATGTGTCCAGGAAACCATCCCAACAGCATGCCGCACTCGCCTGGGTCAAAATCACCTAGGAAACAATATTTTACTGCATCAGATTTAAATGGAAAATTCCACTGGTCCTATCATCCTAGGAGGAAATATTTTGTGTATGCTTCTTTTAACAGTGCGGCCTGCTCCTTGCCCAGACCATGTGCGGGGCCTCGTAGCTCACGGTAACAGCGCTGTAAAGTAGTGGGTTCGATCCCGGGCATAACAAAAAATGTATGCAACATGACTGTAAGTCGCTTGGAAAAGTTGCTAATGGCTTTCTTATTATATTTTACTGATTTTGACCATGGCCAGTTGTCACGCCCTGACCTTGAGTACCCTGTTATTCGCTAGTTGGTTGGTCAGGGTGTGAAATCTAGAATCTATATTTCTATGATTGGCCGGGTGTGGTTCCCAATCAGAGGCAGCTGTCTCTAATTGGGGATCATACTTAGGCAGCCAGTTTCCTGCCTATGTTTGTGGGATCTTGTTTCTGTTTGGCTTGTTTATGTGTAGCGTTTTGAACTTCACGTTCTTTTGTCGGTGTTTCGTAAATAAATAATATCTACGCATACCACGCTGCACCTTGGTCCGATCCTTCACTCAACGTACGTGACAGAAGATCCCACCACCAATGGACCAAGCAGCGTGTCCAGGAGGAGCAGACATCCTGGACATGGGAGGATATCCTGGACGGTAAGGGATCCTGGACGTGGGAAGAGATCCAGGAAGGAATGGATCGCCTTCCATGGGAGCAGACGGAGGCAGCGAGAAAGGATAAATGGCGACGGCGTAGTTCAAGACCGCGAAGGAAGCCCGAGAGTCAGCCCCAATAAAAACATTGTGGGGGGGGGCACACAGGGTGGTTGGCTAAGCAGCAGGAGGCCCTGAAAGGGCTGACTGTGAAGGAGGAGGAGGCCACTAGGAGAGAGGCCCTCCAAGACCGGCAGCTCAGCACTCTGAGAGAGGGGACCACTACCTTACGGGAGCTGATAGCTAAAAGGGAGCAGGAGATCTCCCTTCAGAGGGAGGCGCTGCAGGAGGCCCACAGGGAGAAGGAGTCAGTGGATGCACGGAGAGAGGAGCTGGCCAGACAACAGGAGGAGCTGAGAGAGGAGTTAACCCTCCAGCAGCAGAGAGCTCAGTCCTTAGAGCAGAGGCTGGAGGAGCCAGGTTTAGCAGAGCCAACTCCCCGCACTCGCCTTGAGGAGCGTGTCTCCAGCCCGGTACGGCCCGTGCCTGCTCCTTGCACCAGACCAGTGGTGCGTGTCTCCAGTCCGGCATGGCCCATGCCTGCTCCTCGCACCAAACCTATGGAATAGGAAGTGATTTTGGGGTTTTCAATGTATAAAATGTGTAGGGTAAATCGCCAGAGTAGATTTGTCGTGGTAAACAAATAATAAAATAAATAAACAAATAAATACTTTATTTTAATTGCATGGAATGATTGTCAAACAGATGAATCTGCAA